AAAATGGTATATAAATACACTGAGAAAAAGCTATGGTTTATAAACCTATTAGTGGTAAATATGGAACACCTATAATAGTCGTAAAGAAACTAATGATTCTCGGTCTGTGAACCATACTAAGGTCTCTGTACCTAATTAAGGTACAGAGACCATAACTAAGGTATATGTGCTATTATTATATGTAGAGGTACTACTATTAGTGGTGTTCCATATTTACCTCTAATAGGTTTATAAGCCATAGTTTTTTCTCAGTGTATGCTAGGTTTGCTCAAAAATTGAGGAACCTCGGATTTCGGAACTTTAGAACGCTTCGGAACTTGGCTGACCGCGGCGAGCCGGATCGCGCGTTGACGGGTGCGCCGCGAAAACGTGAATAGGCGCGATGTTCACGATGCTGTATCTTCCTCAATTTTTAAGCAAACCTAACATATGTATATACCATTTTCTTCCAAATTATGTCAGCTATTCAAAACATTAGCTAAATCCGGGACTTTTGCTGCATATAGCGTAGCCGCTATATCAAAAAAACCGCAAAAAAAGGCCTTTTTAGGCCATTTTTTCAAAATAGCGGAAAATGCTCACCAGATACGCCTGCGGAAACTTCAGATTCGGATTTAGCGACCCAAAAAACATAAAGTAGGCCAAAAAAATCGCTGTGTACCCAAAATTCCAGGTAGACTTACCAGGCGCCTGGACTATTTCCCTTCTTTTTTCCTCCGTTCGCACCTTTTTCTTCGTCTTTTTTTCGGGCGAAGGGAGGGGGGCGTGTGCCCCCTACACCTCCCTCCCCTCGGATGCGCATATGCCTAGATTGACAGCTTTAAGTTACTTGGAGGCATGGCATATGGGAGAAGTTGCCAATGATGCATGAAATCGCCCTCAAGAAGACGCACTTTTTCCCTTTGCGGTGCAATACCGTAACACAAGAGAAGTTGCCTAGCTACGATTTGGAAAGCGCTTCCCGGAGTCAGGCTACTTGTTATTGTATTTCCAACAGGTGATCAAGTTGATTGTAAAAATTAAGGAAGAATTAGTCGGAAAATTGATCAAAAACGGTAACCTCATTTTTCTTTGTCGCTGATTCATCGGTTTATGTCCCGATTTGGAACCTATGGCCATCTAGAGTATTTATATCGTGTCCGTGGACATCATCGGAGGATTCGCACGTCCAGGTTCTAGGCTCTCAAATTTTCAGGGATTAAAGCCGATTAGAATCTGTCACTGCAGATCTATTCGTCCGTTCCGCGAGAATTTGTCGCTACTACCGGGATTCGAGCACCTGGATTCGGAAGCGCTGACCACTATGACCTCAAATTAATTTAAATTTCAATTTGGAGGAAGTGAAGAAAGAGGTCACTCGAACTTCTCGAGAATGAAAATAAATTCATGTATATTTAGGAAACGTGACGTAAGGTATGTACAAAGACTAGAGACTCTGAATGGATACAAATATATTTGAGTCGCGAACACATAAATACATGAAAGTTTCGATGTAAATTACGTTCACCTAGTGATTTAAACAATAGAGTTGATGACGTGACGTAAACTACGTTTTTCAAATATTGATGACAGGAACTCAAAGTTAGCATGATTATTTTTCGATAAAATTAAACGTTTTCCGCTGTAATTTTATTTTTGAAAAAATACTTTTCCAGCAGATCAATCGCTTCAGTCTAAGAATTAGCGCTTTTTAACGTCAACAGTTTGTGCTTCTATTGTCTCCTGATCATGTAATGAGTTATTTATAAATTGTTATCTGAAATAAACAGCCCAATTCAGGTTCTAATAAATTATATATGAAAACTGAATGCGTATAAATGTAAGGACAATTTGTACACGATTTGCGCATCATAGTTAAAATCAAAGAACGAATTAAAAAATCGGCCCTAAAAAGGCGTCAGTTGCACATGGTTCCGAAACGTATGTCCAAATCCTGACACTTGCATACAGTTTTTACGACCTGTAAATCATCTTACGTTGTTTTATTGCAACGATTCATTAATCAATCCTTGCGTAACGCACTCTTTTGACTTAAAATTTTTTCTTCTTTTTTATCAAAAATTATCAATAACAAAAATAATTTCGTTCTAAATAGTAAAACATACCTAATATCCTATTTTTTTAGCGGAATAATAAAACCAACATTGATAAGAAGCTAAAAGAGAAATACGCAACGATAAATATCGGAAACGAGAGAAAATTTAAACAATAAAATATCAATGAATAAATAAAAAAAACGAAAGTAAGGAAAAAATTAGACAGCATCGATAGTCTTTTAGGTTCTTCCTACCTCCGTCCTGAAAGTTTTGCCGGGATTTGTTAAACTTTTATCATAAAAATATTAATTTTATTTACGCTGTGGCTACAAAAGAGGGCCGCGAAGCGTCTTCAGGGGGTAGCGGCCAGGGGGCATAGCCCCATAGTATACATTATATTCATAATTTTCTTTTAAAACAAATGCTTTCCGAAAAATAAATTTGGCAAAATTCGAATGTTCGTACGGCGTTTTTCCTTAGTGCGGCAGTGCCGGCCTGCAGAATGTGCTTGATCTCCCGGTAAAAGCGTTAAATGGAAACTTTCTGCACCCCTAAATAATTCGAAAGCTACTGTATTAATTTTCACCAAAACCAAATATTTGGAACCTCTGCTGATGCGAGCAATGTGTAGACATTTTAGCCGTATAACTTTTAACATAATTTAAAAGTAAATCTAAATTTCTACATGCGCGGAATAAACCCTCAAAATTTCGAGCTCTTGATTCTCAGCTAGGAAAAATTGACACGAGAGTTGACGAGAGCATGGATTTTTCGTTCTTTTCTGACCAGTTGTATTTGCTTCATCTTAACTTTCTCGGATTAAGCGATAAAAAATTTCCTTAGGCGCGAAAATAGCCTTAAAAAAACTACTACAAATTCTGAGTTGCGAATTCTCGGCCGAGGAAACTCGCATGAGACCACGGAGTTTTCGATACCTATAACGTTGTGGAAATCAAGCGCTCTCCCATGCGCATGCGGTGTCCGGAGGAGGTATGTGATGTGGTATCTCACGAAAATGAAGGAAACTCTTAGCTATTCACCTGCTATAACAACTAACGTTTTATAATGTAGGCATCATGCTCACATGGTTAAATGTGGAAATCAAGCGCGCTTTTATTGGGTTACCAGAGTAGGTATATTATGATGTGGTATCACATTAAAATCAAGGATCACCTCTAAGGCCGATGTTGACCATGTGCTACAAACGCTGTAGCAAATCTCGAATTTTGATCAAAAGGTTTTACTTATCTAACCATCAGGATAGTATTTAATCTTCAATAGTCAGGAAAACCCTTAGAATTTCAATGTAAGATATAATTACCGACTATTCGCAGCCCACAGAAATACAGATCTCTCCTATAGCCTTTCTCTACATTTTATTATTCCATTTAATCACGAGTTTCTTTTTTTCTATTTCCAGAAACCTGTGCTGTGAGCTACAACCTGCAACCCCGACTTAAGGTATGTAAATCTCTCTTGCATATTTTACCGCATTGATCAATGTCTCCTCAGTTCGAGTTGAGTGTGTCAAAATATCTGAAACAGACTCGTTGAGTCACTTATTCCTCCCCTAATTGGACATTAATCCATGAATGAATTTTGACCGAAAACGCGAATACACTTTGCCAAATGTGAATGACGCGTAGGACACGATGCCCAATTGCGCGCATTAAAACTTAAAAAAACCACCGCCTTTGCCATCAATTTTGTTCAAAATTCGCTGATGTCTAAGTTTGTCCCCCAGAATATAGGATTTAGATCTATTAATCGCGAAACTAATATTCAGGAGCATGTAACGGATTTCCACGATAAGCTTTATAATCCAACCCCCGAAACCCGGAAAGCGTTTTTTTATGTCGATGGAACCTATTCCTACATTGATTAACGCTCAAACTTTCGAGTTTCACGTCAAACATTTTCTCCTCTCAAGAAAAAAGCACCCGTTCAATGCGCTCAGTGCGCGTATTCAGAAAAAAAAACACGGCCTTTGGCATCAATACTGTGAGAAATTCGCTGATTTCTGAGTTTTCCCCCAGAATACAGGATTTGGATCTAATTAATCGCACAACTTACATTCAGGAGCATGTAACGAATTTCCACAATAAGCTTTACAACCTAACCCCGGAAACCCGGAAAGCGTTTGTTTATGTCGATGGAACCTATTCTTATATTAATAACAGCTCAAATGTTCGAGTTTCACCTCCAACATTTTCTCCTCATGAGATAAGGCATCTGATCAAAGCCCACTCTCATAGTCGCCCTAGATGGTTACACTCTATCTATTCTAGAGCCTCTGTTTGCTGATAGCCGAAATTATGATGTAGCAATACCTAACCACGAATCAGAACTAAAAGATGTTAGAATGGTTTGCAGACGGTGGTATTGTGAGATATTATGCATCGTAGATCGTGGTTACCGTGATGGAATTCCATTCCTTGAGCAGTGCGGATTTGAGACCAGAATGCCGCATCTTCTCGGACAGAGGGAGAGGCAATTCTCCACACAGGATACAAACGAATCTCGACTCGTCACAAAGACCCGGTGGATTTTATATGTCCAGAATGGATACATAAAATCCACTCTAAAGTTTTTGGACAGCATCATACCATACATACATTTGATCCATTTGGGTGAATTGTACAAAACAGCCGGTACGATTATAAAGAAGTATCACGAGAAAATCATCATAGAAGAGGCAAATCTCGAATTGGCTCAGGAGCTTCTCCTAAAAACACAAGGAGTAAATGTTGTACAAGCTTGTGTAGAAGCCGACAGATTTGTTCGGCTCTCAAAATGCCCAGTGGACCCGCCTCGACCATAGGCAGGTAAATGATTTTCCGCCATTCCGTTTTCCAGAGCTGAAAAAATTGACTCATGGTCCATTTCAGTTGAGGTCGATAAAATCGTGAATATAGGACAAACTTCACGGAGACGACGACGAGAAATTGCAGGTCGACAAAAAAATACATTTTTCGGAATATTTATTCTAAGCAATGGCAACAATAATCAAAATTTCTGCAACCGAAGTTGAAAATTATGTTTTCATTACTGCGTATGTCGCATGGAAGATCTTAGTATCTTGGTATCGTTAAAGACCAGTTTCAATATAAAAACAATCCGACATCGCAAACTAATTTTGTAATATTCCACACAAGTGAGAGGTACCGTAACAATACGATGAAGAGAAAATACGGCCAATTAACTGTCTTTTGTGCCTAAAACAACTCAACTTACGTATGTGTACGCGTAAGTTGGGTGGTTCATCTCTACCCAGCGGTGGTCGTTGAATGCAAGGATGATATGGTGCCTCCATCGATTATACACTCTCTGATAGTCTCGTTGGTGCACCCTCGGTAACATGTACCTTACGTTGGTTCTCGGTCATGTCCTCAATGGTACGATTCTCGAACGCATACAGTACGTCGAGATCCCCGACCTGTCCGCGTAGTTTTAAACCCAACAATATGGCAATCTTCGCCTTGCAGTCTTGATGGAACAACTGGAAACTTCGGATAAAAACAGGTCTCAGCAAATCATCGTCAATTTTATCCGTTGTGATCCCGATTACGATCCCGGCCTCCGAGGATCGCTTCACGAGGACATCCTGTCGTTTTCGGTCGGGGGCCTCCAGACCGCGCACCAAGTCGAATTTTCCAGAGTCTGCCGCTAGAGTGAGCAAGGTGTGTGCTAGTTCCCGTGCTCCTCGCGGCAGGCTGTACTTGAAGAGTTCTGTGACCGCTAAGGAGAAGTTGCGTATAGACGCCTCCTCCCCAGTGAGTCGCTCAATGCTCTGAACAAAGTTATTAATTGCCTGGTTAGTTATATTTAGTTTGGTGATGTAGTATGCTCGGTCGAAGATCAGATTATTGATGTCTAACTTGGTCTCGAAGTTCGGTATATTGAGTCTGTTTCCGTCGAAAACGGTGTAGAAGCCATGGTCCAGAAGCATCTGCAGGATTAAGTCCCGATGAACAACAAATGGAGTTCGATTGGGTTCAAATATTGATCGTCGGAGTTGCTCGAGCAGCCTCAGTGGGATCTTTTGCCGTACAAGGAGTCGTGTCTTATTATCGAAGGCGTCCTCTATGTCACGGCCCAACTTCTCAAAATTCAACAGGTGTTTTATGGGTTTAAACTTTACAGACTCATTTTGACACGGTCTAAGCAGACCCGTCGTAAGGCAGCGCAACGTTGAGCGTGTGTTGTAGATATTATGACCCTTCCGCCCTGCTCTGTAACCACTGTACCAAAGTCTGATATCGGGAATATGTTTTTCTTTGTAGTAGCGCCAAGCAAGCTCAGAAACATCCTCTTCTGTCAGGCCGTAATATCTAGCGGGAAAAAATAATAAGAGTCGGAATGTTCTGGGATTAAATATATAACCAAACATAGGGAAATGTAAGTATTCGTGGAACGGTAAGAATAGAGCACCTTTATAGACAGAGTATGGCCATTGAATAAGGTTCCACTCGCAATTGGCTGAGCCAGGCCCCTAATGTAGCTCTTAGGATCCAGAAAAATGGCAAGTGTCACCTGATGACTATTCACAAGTCCAGGTAATGAGGTTTTATTCGCATATTATATGACTATAAAAACTCAAAATCCGAAGGTGGACGTATTAATTCAGTTTTGAATCCAATATTGTGCATTCCATTTGTTAAAATCGTTTTAACTTGGACCTAAAAAACAATATATACGGTGAAACTACCAGAACACCTATCTCGGTTCCACAAGTCGTCGAAGACCTCTTCTTATAATACTATATTTTTTAAAGGGAAAACTGCTCAACGTCTGCTCTTAAAACTTCCGCGAATTTTCTACTTTGTGCGAAGAAAATTCTGTGAAAACTTCAAGGAATGATATCGAGCTGTTCTCCGTCAAAAAAATAAATGAAGAATTGTATAATATAAGTAAAATGATATAAGTGGAGATTTTTAAACACCGCAAACGCGATACGTGGGTCGGTAGTTTCACCGTAGATGTTGTTTTTTCTCTGAAGAATTCTGACGAATAAAAACTTAGATATTACATAAAGTGATAGTTTTGATAGAACAATAAACTCACTGATGCAAAAATTCATCCTGGAAGACGGGAAGGTGCATCAATCCATCTGTGATGTCGATTCTGAGACTGCCCGTCACTACGGTCCGGAACACATCTTCGCTTTTTATGAGCAACTCGACAAATCGACACACATCCTTCACGATCCTCGTAAAACTTTCCTCATCAAGTTTTTGGGCGAAAAGAGCCTTGCGAATCGGTATGTCAAAATTATCGACTAAAACTATCGATTTTCGCTGATGATGATGTGACAACAGACGGACCAACTTTTCTCCCCCAAGCACAACCTGCAAAATAAGTGTCGTGTAGTTAAGTGCAACGAATTTGTCACATTTTGCCTTTTGGCTTGTTTGATGTATTCCGCGCCAAGCTCATTGAGAGATCCCATTCTAATAATGGTTAGGTCAAAGGGGACTTTTGAAATTCTTCTGTGAGCCCATTTCATTTGAAAAATTCTTCTAACTTAATTAAAAACCTTTTTCTGGTATTGGTGTCTTCGAATATATCAGTCCTGAGGATTTTTTGCGCCATTTTATCGTAACTTTAAGGAAGAACGTCATCTCCTAATTTCGTAATGAATAAAAACAAGACCATAAGCTGAACTTCAGTTTTCATGAATTATTTATGTTTTGACCCCTCCCACCTAATAGAACATTTTTACCCTTAAAATTGCATTGCTGCATGTAAATAAGGTTCCCTCTTCTACCTTCTTAAAAACTCTGACTCTGGTAGGTGTAATGCAACCATCTTGTTGTCTCTCTCCAAGTAGGCTTGATTAAAGCGTATGTCGTGCTATTAATGGACTAATTATAAGGGAAAATCATGAAATTATCACATACCTCATCTATACTCAGTTCTTTTGACTTATCGCGGAAAAGTAAAAATTCATCCTTGGTGAGTTTGGTCAACCTCTTGCTCAATAACAAGTATTTAAATTGTTCGAAGAGCCGCGAAACCATTTTCGTAAAAGAGCTTTTGTAGTTCTGATAAGAATTTGTAGATAGCACTCCAAAGTCTACCATGAGGACAGGATATCGAGCAAACTGGGACTCGAAAAGCTCCGGCCAATCCTCCAGTATTTTCAAGCGCGGCTTCGAAAAGGTCACGTAGTTCTTCAGGTAGTCTCCGATAATATTGATAGGTTTCGTAACGCTCTCGTGGGCAGATGCACCTTTGGTCTCGTTTTCGGAAGCCGTGCGTTCTGTGGAGGTGTTTCCGTGACGCTCTCTATACTTTTTCAGAACGTCCTGAAAGATCTTGTCGGTTTTCACGAGCTTTGCCGCATTGATGGCGGATCCATAGGAGTCGATCTCCATGGTGAAGAAATCTTGAACCAATTTAAGGTTAGTGGTTTTGCCGAAACCCGGTGGGGCCTCGATGTAAATGTGCCTACGGCCATCTAGGATGTACTTGATTAGTAGAGATTTGTCTATGAAAGCGCGTGTCTGAGCGAAGTCTTTAAAGATAGCAGATCCAGGGGGCTCTCCATCGGCATTTGAAGCTTCCTGTGCCAAAAGTAAAACTGAGTGGATAAGTGTTGCCTGTAGGTTTCATTAAAACATACCTTATTTCTCATGCAAATGATGATTTATGCTGTAACTTGGTACAACCTTAAATCTAATTTCTTTGACTTAAATTTTCATAATTTTCGTGGGTGAAAGTTTGCTCATCTGTAAACGCAAGTTTTTGATTGCTATTTTTATCTGTATTAAGAGAGGTGTCAGAAATGGGAGTTTTGTTTTTCTGCTGATATTCATCATTTTTTACTTCTTAAAGTTCAGATTTTCACAGATTCTTATTTTATTGTCAAATAAAGTTTGGAAATAATATCAAAATTCGTGTAATCCTCAAATGCAAAAAAGTAGAGCATTAAAATGTTTTCTTTTTAAACATGCACTTCACACTGAAAAAAATCGTTGGGATATATCAAACCAATAAGTTGTGTTGAGCTATGTTGTGTTGATTGAAGTATACGAGTTGCATTAAATTGACACTACGAAGTTGGGTCAGGAGGCTTTGTGTTGGCGCAACACAATATTGTGTCATTTCAACCCAATTTTTCTTGAGTCAACACGGCTACTGTTGGCATGAATGAACACAATTTTTTGTAATGAGAGAACACAACTGATTGTTTCGAATTGAGAAAACGATTTTCTCGTATCAAGAAATCTTCATTGTGATACAATAACACAATAAAGTTTCTCAAATTGAGAGAACAATTAATTTGAATCAAGAAATCGTAGCTTTAACTTGATACAATGCCGTGTAGATCTTGGAGCAAACGAGGTGCCTTATAGCCAAAAGTTACTTTGGAGCCGAATAAATTCTACATACCACCAATACTATTTTATTCAAATATTTTGACATATTTTATTTTCTTTATATTTATCTCAATCTACTTTATTTTATTTTGTTTCTTTATACTAGTTACCATATATTTATTCATTTTTTGTTTTATTTCATTTTATTTATTTTTTATAAATTTATTTTTCTTAATTTTACTTCTTCCTTTGAAACTGCATAGAAATTTCCGAGAATATCATTGCTTTCAAACATGGAATTGGCGCTGAGGACGCTTATGAACGCTTAGTTACCCCACCATGTAAAGAGAGCTTCCGGAACTCCACTGTAGCGGCACTTGGGCGATCGCGGGGTTAAGTAACATCGGGCGTAGTTAGTACTTAGATGGGAGACCGTTTGGGAACGACCGTGATGCGGATAATTGTATAGAGATTTAATATCGCTCACGTGACGATAGGATGCCTCGGCACCAAATCCATTTAAGTTCCGTATTTAATCCTGTAACTTTTCACCTTTGCTTCAAGCTTCTTTTTTTTCCAATGTAGGTTGTGTTGATTTAACACAACTACTTTCTTTGACTTGACCCAACTCAGAGTGTTAAGTGGTGACAACCTGTCTACTTGATCTGACACAACTATTTTCTTGATTTAACACTACGTTGTGTTCTGTAAAAATGGCCAATCCAACAGTTGTGCCAACCCAACACAACTCTGTGTTGATTTGACACCCCCCTTTTTTCGGTGCAGGTTATGGGGTTATACATATCAGATTTTAATGACACGCAAAGTCAAGATTTTTAGCAACATATTTCTAAAAACCTCTGGATCGAACTATCATAAGAAAGCTGGGCTTACTGAAAGAAGTATAACAAGAAGCAGCAATTGTAAAATCATCCTTTTGGCTCTTGAAGGGCGGCAATCTCCCGAAGAACAGTCCTGCTTTTGTACCTCTCGGGTAGAAATTTCAACCCAAAAGTTTGGTTAATACGGGAAGTAAAACACAACTTTAGCCTTCGGTTCACAATTTCAAGAGCAAAGGTCAGCTGGTTTTCATGAAGAAATTTAATAAAATACGAGTGAGTACCAACGTCGCAATTGGAGGAATGCATTTTCCCAGTGTCTCCATTGTTTACTGCGCTAAATTCAACGCAAACCGTATCAAAATCAACACTAAATTTTTGATTGTTTGTGTTTCACTAACCAAAAGTAACACTAGTAACACACATTATTAGTATAATTTGTGGAGATTCAACAAGCTAATAGTCATTACAAACTCACAATTAGGGGCATTATTTGTAAAATTATACTCTTAGCTGTTTGTTGACGGATTCCTCACAGACTGCTAGGTTTTTATATTGGTTTTTGAAATAGATTGGACACATGTAGAGAATTAAAGCCTTCACAATTGACACAGATCAGCTGCTCTGCTTATCAGAACCTTGATCCATTTATATGAATTGAGCTGATAACCACGTGACGTGAAAATAGAGCTTGGACGTATACCGACAGTGAAACTGTAAAAACGCATACCTCAGTTTACGACGCTACCTACAAGCTTGATTTATTTCGTAAATGGCAAATTACTGGCTTTTTTTGTTTTGCTTTTTTTTTTATTATTATTATTATTATTAGTATTGAAAATGCATCCCTTCTATAGTTTTCTATTTTTATGTTAAGAATGCTCTGTAAAAATGTCAAGCAATAGTGTATTTCCTTCCCTCTTTAATCAAATAAAACGAGCAGAGATTTTGCAACGCCGTAACTAAGATATCCGTTTTTGCAGATGGATCTCTAAGTCTGTCTTACGTTCCGGCTACGGCACTATTCCTATGTAAGCGCTCATGTCCTCGCGCGCGGCTTCATTTCTGAGTGAGACAGATTTACATACTCGACAGATGTATCTTCACTCATTGTCAAAGGAAGGCGCATAGCAGGTCAAATTGTGATTGACACCACCTCTATCGCCAAAAAGTCACCTTCTACTATTAGATGTACGAGAAGTTTCCAAAAATGGTATGCAATCTTCTTAAAAAAGGCACTCTATGCTTGTGCGGTGGCACTATACCTAAACACACGAGAAGTTGCCTAGCCACGATTTTCAAGGCGCTTCCGAGTGTGAGGTTACTTGGCATAGATTAATTTAAACAGGTGATCAAGTTGCCGTTGATGATAAAAATAAATGAAAAATTCGTCGGAAAATTGATCAATAATAATAACCTCAAAAAAACTTTAATTAGTAGGAATTCAATAATTAGGTCACTCAAACTTCTGCAGAATAGAAAAACTCATATATTTTAGAAACATGCGACATGACGTATGTACAATGATAGACTCTGAGTGAATAACAATATATTTGAGTCACAAACATTTTAATATAGTGACTTTTAGGTTTAAAGTACGCTTACCGTGTGCGTTAAGGAAAGCGAGAGGAAAGCCAGACGCATGACCGCGCGTTTAAATAAAACTTTTAAGACTTTAAACCTGGATTATTCTAATTTCTCATTTCCTCGATTATGCCTTCATTTCTGAGCGAAGCAACTTTATAGACTTAAAAGTCGTAACCGCACGCATACTCAAGAAACAGGCAAAAGGCGCGTCTCAGGCTCAATAATTGAATTAGTGAGTTAGAAAACACACCAACTCGGGAAAAAAAGAGTGTTCAGAAAACACCTAAAACTGCGTAGCGAGCGAAGAAATTAATTTAAGAAAAACCTTTTTGGTGCCAAAGGACAAGTACTTAGAGACTTTATAAAGCACCAAGTTGAAATCGATACACCATGTTTGATGACAGAGAATAAAGCGTTTAAAAATTTCCGAATTGGTGTGTTTTCGTTCTCACCGACTTTCCGATACTGATTTTTCATAGTCAGCCCAGAAAAATTTATATTTTTTCGACCTAAATAACGCTTGAATATTTATATAACTTGTTGATACAAGGTATACTGAACCGAAAAAAGTAAACCGCAAAATCGGATGGTCACCCGTTTTCCCTTGAAATGGCCAAAAATTGGTATTTCCAATGAAATAGGTACTTCGATTTTTCCCTTTTCCCGTCGCTGTTTCGAGCACTTCCGATTGCAATGTCGAAATTTACTTATGCGTGCAGATGCTTCAAAATACCCGCGCAAAGCTCTTTCACAAAAAGTGAAAATCGAAAAAAACCCGAGTTTGTGTGTTTTCGAACTCACTGATTCAATTGTCATTGCTGTCTCCATTACCGAAGAATTACCATTTGCCATCAGTAACGCTCTTTGATTTTAATTATGATGCGCAAATCGTGTTCTTTGTACAAACTTTCCTTTCATTTATATGCATTTAGTTTTCATGTATAATTTATCAGTGCCTAATAGGGCTGTTTATTTTATAAAGCAATTTATATAAATAACTTATTACATTAGGATACAATAGAAGCACAAACTGTTGACGTTAAAAAGAGCCAATTTTTTCAGACTGAAGCGATTGATCTGCTTGGAAAAATTGTCTTTTTTCAAAAATAAAATTAGAGCGAAAATTTTGTAACATCTAACAGTAATCATGCGAATCTTAAATTCCGGTTCTTGATATTTGAGAAACTTGGTTTACGCCATCAACGCTAGTGTTCGGGAGGGGATACGGTGATGCCTCCACCTAAAAGTGGCTATGGAATGCCAATTCTCACGTGTGTTCCAATACTCAAACATCTAACACTGGTCTTTGAATAGAGGAATAACATGACGGCATTGGCGACACCAGTTGCCTCTGATATCGTTATGGCACAATTGATGACCTGCGTTGTTTATTACCGCTATCTATATCATGCCGGAATCGCACGCTGAATTTGGCGGCTGAATATGGGAGCTGGAGGTCGTCGCTCAACAGTTGAATTTGTGTAATTTTAGGTCTTTTTCATCCACATTTTTTTTATACACAATCGAATAGTTCAGACAAACTAATAACTGCTGAGTCCCGATCCTCGTGGATGACCACCAGTGTTCGAAACTCACCTTTGAGTTTTAGGAGCCATGTGGCGCATCAAGCCCGATTTCTAGGCGCCATTGAAGATTTTTTAGGAGCCAAATTGACTTCTTGCTTATACAGGGTGTACCAAAAGTCCGTCCCACCCCTACTAACTTTTGAACGAATTGAGCTAGGGTAATAAAACTTAGGGAATGTTCCTACCTCAAAGGGTACCATCTTTTGGGGGGGTCAAAATTTTGGTCCCCCCTCAGGGGGGGCGCGGGGGGCCCCCAACTTTTTTTTTTCAAATGGCAACCCCTATCTTGTAATACATCATTCGAAAGAGCATAAAAAACTAAGAATTTTGGCGCAAACCGCAGATCAATATCTTCATTCTTGACCGAGTTATGATAGGTCAAAGGTCAAATTTGACCTATTTTCAAAAAATCATAAC